GAAATAATTTTGCAGAGAAGCATTGAGCACGATTGTACATCTTTTAAACCTCACTCCATGTGTTACATTGAATTTTGATGTTCCAAATCATGTTTGGAGTGGTAAATATGTTTCCTACGACCAGCTTCGGGTGTTTCGGTGCATGGCTTATGTGCATATTCTGAAGGATGAGAGATCAAAATTGGATGAGAAGTCAAAGAAATATCTGTTTTATGGGAATGAACTTGATGAGTTTGAATATCAATTGTTTGATCCAGTTAAACGGAAGCTTATTTGTAGTTGTGATGTCGTATTCATGGAGGATTATACCATTTAGGACATCGACAAAGTTGAGAATAAAGATCCAATTTTTGAAGATGAATAAATGGTTGATACGGACTCAACTACTATTGCTTCTACCCCTATCACTTTCAAAGATGTTTCGATTGAAACTACAGGTATGGATTTGAATGTTGATAATGTTTTAAATCCTAATGACATTATTGATGTAGGTGCTACGGAAGATGTTGTTGAAAATGAGGTTGATCAAGAGGTTGAAAGTGTTGAGTAACCAATTGCTTCTAATGAGTTGAGGCGGTCTATTCATGATTCTTTTGGGGAGAAGAATTAATCATGGTTGTACATCTTTTAAATCTCACTCCATGTGTTCTGTTGAATTTTGATGTTCCAAATCATGTTTGGAGTGGTAAATATGTTTCCTACAACCATCTTTGGGTGTTTCGGTGCATGGCTTATATGCATATTCTGAAGGATGAGAGATTGAAATTGGATGAGAAGTCGAAGAAATGTGTGTTTGTTGAGTATGGACTTGATTAGTTTGGATATTGATTCTCTGATATGGTTAAACAGAAGCTTATTCGTAGTCGTGATATCGTATTCATGGAGGATTATACCATTGAGGACATTGACAATGTTGAGAATAATGATATGATTTTTGAAGACGAAGAAATGGTTGATACGGGATCAACTACTATTGCTCCTATCCCTATCACTTTAGAAGATGTTCCAATTAAAAATAAAGGTATAAATTTGAATTTTGATAATGTTTTAAATCCTAATGACATTGTTGATGTAGGTGCTACAGAAGATGTTGTTGAAAATTAGGTTGATCAAGAGGTTGAAAGTGTTGAGCAACCAATTGCTTCTAATGAGTTAAGGTGGTCTATTCATGAAAAACGGCCTTCCGTTCGATACCCTTCAAACGAGTATGTTTTTCTTACCAATGGTGGAGAACGTGAAAGCTTTAAAGAAGTTTTGAGGTTGAGAACAAAAAGGAGTGGATGAATGCCATGGAGGATGAAATACAATCACTTCATGAGGATAATACCTTTTAGTTAGTAAAGTTTTCAAAGGGTAAGAGAGCATTGAAGAAAATATGGGTTTATCAGATTAAGCAAGATGAGTGTACTTCTCAAAGAAGATACAAGGCTCACTTGGTGGTAAAAGGTTTTACACAACATAAAGGTGTTGACTTTGGCGAGATTTTTGCTCCAGTTGTAAAGATGCAATCTATTCGAGTGGTTCTTGGACTAGACGCTAGGCTTGATTTGGAAGTAGGGCAAATGAACGTGAAAACAACTTTCCTTCATGGTGATCTACATGAAGAAATTTACATGGAGCAACCGGATGGATTACGAGAGAAAGACAAAGAAGACTATGTTTGCAAATTGGTAAAAAAGTCTTTATGGTTTGAAACAGGCACTTCGCTAATGTTATCAAAAGTTCAACTCGGTGATGATTGAACATGGGTACAAGATGACTAATGCCAATCATTGTGTATTTTTTCGGAATTTCTCCGAAGGTGATTTCATTATTCTCTTGCTTTAAGTTGATGATACGCTAGTTGTTGGAAATAATATTTTAAGAATTAAAGAGTTGAAGAACACTTTAAGTGAATATTTTGCTATAAATGATTTGGGAGAGGCTCAGAATATCTTGGTATTGAAATTGTTCGAGATCGAAGTGAGAAGTTGTACTTGTCACAAGAAATATATGTGGAGAAAGTCCTTCGGCGTTTTAGTATGGATAAGGCTAATATGGTAAACATTTCACTTGCTTCTCATTTAAAAATTAGTCATAAACTATGTCCATCTACGGGTGAAGAAAAGTTGAGTATGAAGAACATTTCGTACTCGTCGACCGTTGGTAGTTTGATGTATGATATGGTTTGTACACGACCCAATATTTCTCATGTCGTGGGAATGGTGAGTCGTTGTCTCTCAAATCCGGGAAAAGATCATTGGGAGACCGTGAAGTGGGTGATGAGATATTTGCGTGACACTTCAAATTTGAGAATAACTTTGGGATGTAAGAAGCTTATGTTGGTTGGATATATAGATTCGGATTTGGCCGGAAGCTTAGATGATCGAAAATCCACTTCGGGATATATGGTGACTTTTATCGGGGGAGTCGTGGCTTGTAAATCAAAGTTGCAAAAGTGTGTTACACTATTTACTTCCAAAGCCGAGTTTATAGCCGCCGCGAAAGCGTCAAAAGAGTTATGAGAAAATCTGTAATGGAACTTGGTGTGAAACAATAAAAGTATGTCTTGTTTTGTGATAATCAAAGTGTCATTCACTTATCAAAGAATTCCTCTTTTCACTCGAGGTCGAAGCATATTGATGTTTGTCATCATTGTATTCGTCATGCATTAGATTCTGAGTTGATGGAACTTGAGAAGATTTACACTGATGATAATGGTTCAGATATGTTGATGAAGGTGTTGCCTAAAGGAAATTTGATTTTTGTCGCACGCTAGTCAGATTGTTGTTTTCCTCCAACTAGTCGGTCGGGGGAGTTTGTTCGGCTATCCCTCCTATTTGGATAGGCCCAAATGGATGTGGGATAGTGGCCCATGTGTGTCTATGCCTTTGTATTTCTCAACAAAGAATTAGGTTATTCATTTATTGTGTGAGAAAAACAACAAGAAAAGGTAGAGAGAAAATTCTATTCCCGCAGCTCCAATTGTGCACAAATTAGTCCCAGAAAATCGAAGCTTGCGCAAAATCCAACGGTCGGATTGTCCAGAAATTTTGACACAACGTTCATGACTCATTGGATCAAATTCTAAACGATTTTCATTGGATTCATAGTTTTCTAAGTTGGTCTATCGAGTCCATCTTTGAGGTTTGAATTTCTTAGTGTTTTTGGATTGTTTTGTCTCTCTTGATTCTTGTTGTATTTCAAGATTGATTCCAAATCTTGATGATGTTTATGTATGCCTCTAACTAGTGTTAGAGAGAATCTTATTTGTACCCATTGTTGATTATAGTGGAGATTTTAAGCGGCATACGGATCCCGTGGTTTTTTACTCCTAGTTAACAGAGGTTTTTCCACACTAAAATTGTGTTGTGTTGTTTAATGTGTTTTTGTTGAATATCGTTACATTTAATATTTGGGAGAGTTTGTGTTGTTGGATTATTCCGTTGCGTTTGTGATTTCCTCCCAACAATAAGAGATAAGAATGAAAAGAATAAGATGATATCAACTCTTATAGAAATATCTTGGTTATCTGCTCATAGCAATATTTGTTTCATGGATGATATACCAAGTGACTTCATAATACTTCTGAAAAATACAAATCAAATACTGTCATATTCCTGAGTATTGTAGAAGTTGCAGTGTTAGACATAACGGTTGCTACCAGGAAGCTTTTAATTTTCTTAGCACATTGTGCAGCAGCGTATATTTCAACTGCATAATCGAAGTTAAAATTGAAATTTGAGGCATCTGATCTCAATAAGATCCTCTACTATGCGCGAAAAGTGAATGCATCAAATGAGAGGCTTGTTCAACTGCAGAAAACCCCTTTCCCTATGGAAACTGAGCTACATAGGAATATTCTATGCTCCTCCATATTTTACTTTTTCGTAAATGCAGTTAGGTACCAACTAGTATTTTCCCTTTAAACTCAACAGTTTTTCTTGCTGTTTTTACTTTATATCAACTTAGCTGTAAATACGCATAATTGTTCTACTTTTGCCTTGCATTTTGACAATAGAAGAACGGAGGTAGCTCTCATTATTGACCAGCAACATTACACTCTAACAAAAGTAGCTCATAGGTATAGCAGAAGAAGAAGAGAGGACCATAACTAAAGCATGATACAGAATTCATACTCTTTTTGTTACACTGAGCAGATATAATTTATATAAAGAACTTTGTCTTTCTCCTTTCTAGGCATGCAGCACAGAACTCATTAATTTATTTTTTGTTACACATTTGGGATATCGCCGCACTATTTATACAAGATCAGACAAGTCACATTGATTACAATTTTTTTTAAAATATATTTTTTGTTTAATTTCTGAGATTCCGAGGTTAATTTGGTTGGCTTTTGAAGTGCTGCACAACAATGTCAAAGATTTGGAAGACAGGTTGGAACCTATGAATTTGGAAAAGAAGATGAGATCGAATAGAGACCAAAATGGCTTGATTCCATCCACCTCAGCCCACAAAAAAATAATAATAAAAAATTTAATTATTAATTATTGTGTTTAGTATATAATATAGAACAAGAGAAAGTGGGTTACAACAAGAAAAGTTGGTCTTGTGGTCTTTGACACTTCATTGGATACAGCATCTACAATTGTTGTGTGGGTGCCCACAGGCAGCTTTTTTGTTTGTTTATTTTAATATCAACACTCTCTCTTCTACTCTTCACACCCCCATCAAGCAAAGCAATGTTCTTTTGTTGTAGTACATAAATACTTTCATCAAGAGTGTCTTATTTTTTTCCTTTCATTGCTCAGACAATAATGATTTTTCTTTCTGTTAAGGGAGCTGATGTTTGTGGAATCCGAGAATGAGTTTGTTGCTGGTGTTTTGAATGTAGAAAAGTAGCACTAAACAGAATCATGAATGCACGAGTGTTTTCATTGATGTGTTTTTAGAACATACCAAAAAAAAAAAAAATAGCTTCTTTTTTTCACCCTTTATTAGCCCTTATCTTTTTTCACTCTTCATTCTCTTTGGATTTTGTGTTTTTTTTTTTTTTCTCAATGTCTCAACAAAGACAAGCTCATACGATGAGTGGTGGTAACAACCAAGATCAATATAGTGACACAACATTTACCAAAATTTTTGTTGGTGGGTTGGCTTGGGAGACTCAAAGGGACACAATGAGAAGGTATTTTGAGCAATTTGGAGAGATCTTAGAAGCTGTTGTTATCACAGATAAGTATACTGGGAGATCTAAAGGTTATGGTTTTGTAAGTCCATTTTATTTTTTCTTTTTCTGTTCTTTGTTTTTAATGTTTCTGACATATCTGAATAGTTTTATGAACTTGTTTGTTTGTTTCATTTATGATCTTTTGTTTTTATAGGTGACATTTAAGGATCCTGAGGCAGCTATAAGAGCATGTCAGAATCCATCTCCAGTTATTGATGGAAGAAGAGCAAATTGCAATATTGCTTCTCTTGGTGCTAACAAGAATAGATCAGTAACTCTTCAACATGGTTTCAATTCTTCCATTCTCTTTTCTTTTTCATTTTAAAAAAGTTATATTATGAATTGTGATCTTTATTGGTAGCAATGTTTGTTGAAATTGTGCAGGAAGGTTTAGGCCTCCACATGGAGTGATGGCACCAGTTCCTTATCATGGATCTTCTTCATCCACAATTTTCCATCAACCTACCACTAGGCAGTACTCATTTCCTTTTTCAGCATATGGGTAACTTTATACATTATGGTCATTTTCTATCAACATTTTTATTTTTATATACTCCTTGTCTGTCCTTTTCTTTGATGTCAATTCTATGATGTTTTTTTATCTGACAGATATTCTGGATATTCACAAGACACATTGTATCCTCCGGTAAGTATTACATCACACTGAGTTTGACGGAATTATTGTGTGTCATCGTGATTTTGTTGAAGCTCGAAAATTTAGCTTCATGCAAAATCACGGTGTCGATTTGAATTTGTTCTTGGTACAAGATGGAATTAATGTCGATTAAAATTTGTGCTTAGCAGAACTATTACAATGTGTATGGAGTTCAGCAATATTCACCGTACTACCCATCTATTGGAGGTGCTGCTGGAACAATGGGGTTGGTTCAAAATATGTACCCTTACTATGGACAATATGCACAAAATATCCATGGTCCTGGTTTTGGAGTTCAATACCCTCAAATGACACAGATTCCGGTTTTGTCTCAGAATTATGGTTCCACTGGAATATTGTCATTCCCTTCTTCAGCAGCATTGCCAACCATTAGTGCAGGTAATAAGTCTAATAGACTCTATAGGTCGGCCTGTTGGTGAAGACTTGAGACCTGAGAGAATTTTCCTCTCAAAGTCTCGTGTTCTAACAATTCATTTTTTGATATAAAGTGGATCTTACCTCTATAATTTTAGAGATTCATTTATTTTAAATTTGTATTGAATACCAAATTGTAACATTTTTCAGCAACCGTAGCCGCCGCATCCGCAACTACTACGACAGCGACAGCCGTGGTAATTACCGAGGTTACCGGTTCACAAGCTACTGAAACAACAGACTCTGAACAACAACATTCAACAACTTGATGTCTACAAGGATAAAGATACATGGTGTCTTACAAGTTACAAGGCTAACCAAACCTTAACCACATTCTCAATTCATCATGACAAAATTTACCATCATCATCATGATCATGATCATTAGTATTTTCTATTAAGAAAATATGATTTTTTTTCTTCAAAAGTAGAACTAGGTAAGATCATATTCATTCAAGTATTCAGCATAGGGAAGAATCTAATTATTTAAGCTTTGGATTCTACCTTTTAGAGTAATTCAACTCTTTATTATGTCTAGGGTGTTGGAAGCATCCAATGACATAAAATAGTCCTTTGTTTATATTTTAGTACATGGGTTCAAAAGATTGATTTTATATCTTTGAAACCCTTTATTGGCTGGTCAATTAGGAAGAAAAAATTGAGCTTAGGTAGCTCAATAATTTATTATGTATTTTATTTTTCTGAATTTTTTTTTCTCTTCTTCTAAGGTTAAGATTAATTGAAAAGAAAATATTTGTTTGTCTCTTTTTCACATGTAATGATAGTTTTTTTTTTATCATTCACCTTTCACTATCACTTTACATTCTTTTTTTGTTTTTTAATTATATATAGTTCTTCTTTTTGAATGAATGAAATCTCTTTTACTATGTGTACAACTGCAAAAATATTTGGAATCCAATGAAAATTTCATATGTGATGTTAATGAATGTTAGTACCTTTTGAATACTTTTATAAGCTTAGTATTAATATTCGGATAAGGTGATTGGAATCAATTTGTTGACCAATTTTGATATGGTGAGTAAGGTTACTTATTTTGAGATATAACAATGTGATGTGGCCAAAATTGCCTTTATGAGAATGTGCCTCATTGATGCTTTTCTAGCAAGCACTTCTTTTTTGGGTGAAAGCTATCAAATTCGAATTGTTTAAATTGTTCTTCTTTTCCTTAATTGGATTTACTTGTAATGCAAGTAACTTGTTAAATTAAAGGTTTATAGGGGTTAAGGGAAAATGTGGACTATCGAATATTGAACATTTTTAGAATTTCTTTTTAATTTTGGAAAAATGAATAGTGAATATACAACTATTGATTTCTATTATGACAATATTATTATTTTTTAAATAATTGTGTAGAAAAGTGAATACTTGTTAGAAACGATATTTTAAAATAAATGATTTGGTTTGAAAAGGGGAGTAGTGTTGGAATATGAAAGCATTTTATTTAAAAATTGTATGTTTTTTAAATAAGAGTTTAATTGATTGTATTCATCATATAAATTTAAAACAAATATATGTTTACTTTTAAATTAACATCAATGCATATACAAATGAGATTGGTTTATAGACAAAATTAACATGTGTTTATTAATTGAGTCATACTGAATCAAATCACCTCAAAAAATAACATTAATAAAAGTTAACACTTACCGTTTCTTAAAATTACATCAAAAAATATATTAGAAGTGAAATTCGCAATTGAAGTGCTATATCAAACACACATGAATGAAAAGTTCAAGAGTTCATAAAATAAAATTGAAGACAAATGAAAAAAATTTCTTTTATTTTGTATAAACTCTATTTTTCCTTTTATTTTTCGTAAGTTCTCTTCTATAGAGATAATTATATTTGAGATACGTCGTCTTGATAAGTGGTATTTTTATCGTTTTAAAGAATTGTTGTTATAGTTTGCTTTAGTACTCTAGTTCCATTTTTGTTCTATTTTGCTTTCGTTATCTTTTTTTTTTTTTTAGAAGTTTTGTACAAATGCCTAATCGAGTAGATAGGAGCTCAATCAAAAAAGACTTTGTGATGACACTTAGGACTCAATAGGAAAGCATATTCAATAGTGCAAATCAAGGGATGTTACAAATGCTCATAACGACCATCTCAATCCTAATGGCCCCAAGAGGACTTTCCCAAATTTTGGCTTTTCATAGTATAGTATAGGGTTGGGGGCATTATTATTAGTGTACGAGACACTTTTAGTGAGCAAAGAAAGAAAGAGATAATAAAGAAATCAGAATTGATATTATTGAATGATAAAAACTGAATTACATGATATCTATTTATATACAACTAACTTGTATACTAAGTAAGAAATCGTAAACCCTAATTAACTTTGACTTGAGCTACAGAACTTTGATTATATCACAACATACCCCCTATAATTCAAGTTATCGAACACACGCTAATTATAGTCGATCTAAAATATTCCTAATTTCTTTCTCAAATTCAGGAATTTGTAGATCTTCGATCCTTTGGTGAAAATGTTGGTCAAGTGTGCTTCACTTGATCAATGTCTTACTTCAAGTTCACCTCAATTTACATTCTCCATAAAGAATTGAAATTTAGCTTTAATGTGCTTACTTCTTCTATGCAGAATTAGATTCTTTACAAGATTGATGGTTGACTTGTTATCGATTAGCAGCACCAGAGATTTCTTCACTTCGACTTCCATTTCTTCAAGCACATACCTGATCTAAATCGCTTGACACACAACATATGACCATACTATATATTCAACCTCATATGACCATATTAATAAAAAATATTTATTTTTCAAAAATAGCTTTAAAAAGAGTTATTCTAAAATCAGAAAAGATACAATTTAATCTCTTAAAAAAAGGTACTTGGTAAAAAAAGAAATAGCCTAAAGTGAAACAAATAGAAAAAAAGGTAAAAAAAAAGAAGAAAAAGTAGAGTCGGTGCTACTGAATTGGACTTGATTAGGTAAATAACAACGATTTAAGAGAATAGTATTACGTCCATTATAAAAATCGACATAATTTACGGTAAATTGTGTCGGTTTCTGTACAGACCTAATAAAACTGCCACAAATTACCCATTTTTTGTAGTGCCTCATGATCAATACCATGTTTTGCATAGAATTCTTCAAATATCTTGGATGTGTATTCGCCACCTCCATCTATTCGCAGAACCTTGATCTTCTTCTCACTCTAGTTTTCGACAAGCATCTTGAATCTCTTAAAGATTTAGAATACTTCATCCTTTCACTTGATCACATAGATCCAAAGCTTTTGATTATATTCATCGACAAATGAGACAAAATACTTGTTTCCTTCAATGGTATGCTCCTCAAACGGGCCACAAATTATGAATGTACAGCTTTAAGTATGCAAGAGGATCTCATTGGCATAGATGAAACAAAAGACTTTATGGATTGCTTCTCTACTAAGCCACATTCACAAAGTATTTTAGGAATCACAAGAATTGGTATACATGTTATCGTATCTTGAGTGGTCAGTTGATTGAGTGACCTAAAATTTAGATTGTCAAACCTTAAATGCCACAACCAACTATTCTTGAGGTCAACAACTATTTTCAGACAATGTACCTCAGTTGAATTGATCATGGGCTTAAATTTCCTATTCTTCAACAAAGGATATCTCAAGATCAAATTATTCCAAGTGTCGAATAGTTCCAAAGCTCCATCTTTCATAACCATTAAGAAAACTTTTTCGACCAGTTGTTCAACATTTAGCAGACTGCACTTTATTCCACGTACATAGAGTACATCTTTGATCATATCATTCACTCCATTACTCCTTTGAATAAATATGTCGTTAATACTTTCTGCTTACAACGAGCTATTATCAGCATGTTTCATCTTGCTCTTCTCCAAAATCTACTAACCACGCATTTCGACCAGTCATGTGATTTGAGAAGCCCGAGTCGAGGAACCAGATCTTGGAGTCAACATGGTCATCCACCACTGTAGCATAACCATTATAATTTCATAATCATTTGAATCTTGGCGTGCAAGGTTTTCTCTTTCCTCCTTGCTTTTTTTCTCTCCCTTATCTTTCATGTACCAACAATTCTTGGCTAAGTTGCCACACTTTTCACAGTTATAGAATTGCACACCTTTTTTTCTTATTTGTCTTTCTGATAGGATTTTCCTTCTTCTTTTTTCGAGGATTCAGAAGCCCTATCATCGACCTTGTGTTTTGAGGGTTCGATCAAAACTTCTTTCTCTGAGTCTTATCTCCTTTTCCTTTGAACTTGTTGGAAGAAACTTGCTTCTTCCATGCCTGCATCTACAGTGCTTGTATCGAATCTTGAACCCATTTCCTTTCGACAATCCTAATACCAAGCGCATCCAACGAATTAACCAAATCTTTCAGTTTTAGGGTTTCAAGATTGTTAGATTCTTAAATATCTACAATAACGTGATAAAAGTGAGAGGTCAACATACGCATTACCTTCTCAACTATCATCTTATCAGTTAGGGTTTCACCATAGCCCTTTATGAGATGGACGGGATTATGCACCTTCAACACATAGCCTGCAATCTTTTCATCTTCTCCCATCTGCAACAATTCATATTTTCGTTGCAATGTTTGAAATTTGACGACTTTGAGTTTTCCACCTACTTCATAGTACTTGATAAGAATATCACATGTCTCCTTCGCTGATTTAGCATGAGAGTTCTTGTTCAACTTCGCCGAATCTACTGCAGATTGAATATAATATGCAGCCTTGCAATATTTCTTCTTCGCCTCCTTATGTTCACTTTTCGACACTTTGGTTACATCCCGAGCAAGCTCAGGAACACCGTTTTTGACCATTTCTAGGGTTTCATGAAAATGAACAAGGACTTCATATGATTTCCCCATCTATTCCAGTTTTTTCCGTTAAGAATTGGAAGAGAAATCAGAATGCCATTATTATCATTCATCTTTGCAGTGATCGATTAACAATCCACGATCCCAGAAACACGAACAGTGACATGTAATTCTTAAAAACACGATCAAGAATCTAACCGAAGCTCTATATACCTATTTTTTAGTGCGTGAGGCACTTCTAGTGAGGAGAGAAATATAGAGAATAAAGTAATAAGGATTGATACTATTGAATGATAAAATTTGAATTACATTATGTCTATTTATATACTACCCTACTACAACAATCGGTTTTAACAACGGTCGTATTATGTAGCGTGTTGTTGTATATGTGTTACTTTCAATCACAGTCCAGTGACCAATGTAGTAAACTGAATAGTGCACGCC